TAAAATTAATTGCAGGGGACTTGACAAGAGCACATGTGTGTGTGCTGCTTTACCCCCAGAGACACCTGACTCACTGAGCACACCTGAGCCAGACTCACCTGGCAGGATTAAGGAAACCTCCATTAGTCTTGTGAAGTGCCAGGAAAGCACACCTGGTCAGATTCGGAGTACATACACTTCAATGCACATGTGCAAATTGCAGCATTATGGGTCATAAGGGTAAATTTGTAGCTTCATGTCTGGAAGTGTTTTGGATCTGAGCTTGACTTGAAAAGTGTAACTCAAGCTGTATCAGTGGATATGGTGAGTGAGAGATGAAAGTAGGTGCAAAGAAGCAGTATAATACCAACTTTTTTATCATTTTTATGTGTTGATTAATTGAAAATCACAAAGCAAATTAAAGAATAATTGAGTTTTGCTGTGGTTGTATTCTGTGCGACTGAACTATAGGGTATGCTAATAAGCTCACACTGAGGGTAACATGCTGCTGAGGAGATTTAATGTCATATATTCAGTCGAGCTGCAGGGATTTATTGATTAGTTGTCAGCTATTAATTATTTTGATAAACAACCAATCAGTTTGAAGTTTTTTTCAGGAAAAAAAAAAAGTTTAAATCCTCAAATTTTAGCTTCTTAAATGCTTTCTGCTTCTTTCCTCCTCTATGACAGTAAGCTGAATCTGGGTTGTGATCATAACAAGACATCTGAGGACGTGCTCTTGGATTTTAGGGAACACCAATATTGACATTGAAAATTAACAGATTAATCGACAATAGAAGTGATTATTAGCTGCAGCTCTAATATTCAGCTTCTCGCTCATCTGTGCCTGACACCAAGCGCAGAAGGTGATGGCAGTGTCATTAGTTTAGCAGGCATGTATGGCACTAGATGAAAGGTCAGAGGATTATAGTTATTAAAAAATCATCCCCAGGGCGACGGGAATGCCTGTCAATATCTGTGATGCGAAGTGGAAAGTCAGTGGATCAGTAAAGTCCGCTGGATTCACCCTCTGGGGATCATGAATATTGAAGATGCTGTATTCGCATGCAAACAAAGAAGAGAGGGGAGATGCAAAATAGGCAGTATAGGGTGTCATGACACATAAACAGAGACACTCACTGAGTAACACGAGCCCACTGGAGCGCTTTCACTCGGTTGCAGCTCCATCGTGCCCCGCCCTGATCTCACTGCATTTGAGTGAAGCCAGCGACGTGCCTTACATAAGCTCTGGCTTTGTAACACCTTGCAGGACTTGCAATTAGACGGCAATTCTACCATGCAACTGTTAAATGAGATCTCGAACTGCGTTGCGTAACCAAAATATCTTCTGAAGTGTGTTCTCTTTAATGTACAGTAAACTAGCTGTCACACTAAATTAAATTTGTTTTTTTGGTTTTGCTCTAAATTTACTTTCATTTTCTTTCATCTTGCTCTCCTCAAGAGTTTTTTTTTTTAAAACAATAGCCGGTGTCCTACATGGCTGCACACAAATGCACATTGGCATGCAAACACACACACACACACACACACACACACACACACACACTGTATCACATTCTCAGTAGCTAATGAGTGCTTGCTTAGAAGGTACGTTAATTAACAGGGTTCCCAAGAGAAAAGTGCCAGAATGGGAAGTCCGCACACACACACACAGGACAGATGAGGGTCAAATGGTATTTAGGAAAATTTTGTTTACTGTAGCTCGCTTGCCAAGACTGTTGGGGGTTAAACTGGGGACATGCTGATTTCACACTGTTTTGCTATTCAAGCAGCCAAATACATACTGAGCCACTTCGCCAGTTTAAAAAAAAAAACTACATGAAGCTGAAAAAATTCTGAATGTGATCTGTTTTTCACAGCAAACTTGCTTGCTGGAGTTTGTCAATGCTCGATGAAGCGGTCAATTAAAATCGACATGTGAAGGATTAATGTTATTTATCAGCACGAGGAACACACGAATCAATCAATAAAACGGCGCTACTGCAGCAAGTTTTTCCTGGTTAGTCATAGGTGGGCTCAGTTCTCATTCGTCTTTGAGTTTCAGTTGCTGCCTCCCACACACTTCAGTGCCCACACTGATTACACCAAACATGTTTGAGCCAAATCACAAAGTCTATGGCGTGCCCAGACTGGAGCAGAGGTGTCAAGATTGAGTCTTTACAAACCTTCACGCCGCCAGACAATCACGGAAGATTCGCCTTCATTATCAGGGAGTGCTCCGCTGGGGTCAGGAGAGGCCGTATTGGCTCTAAATCTTCTAATCATGACTGGTCAGATTTAGGTGGGTTCGTAACCCTTAAGCTATCTCACATTTCATGCTGATTAAAGCTGCCCGCCTCTATCTGAAGCACAGAAAAGGGAGATAAGAATAAAGCCAGAGGTATCATCTTCCGAGAAGCAAGCTTTCTTCGTTTTTCTGTAACCTTTTATACGTTTAATAGAAAAGCCGTCTCCCACAGACTCACATTCTGATTTGAGTCTGCATGAACATGTTCTGATCTCGGCGCTCTCTGTGGGTGTGGTGAGTGTCAGACCTTGCAGCAAAATAGGGCATTGAGAGACTGCTCTTTCAGATACAACAGTAGGGCGCTACAGAGAACACGACTCAAAAGGGGGATTACAGTTAAACCAAATGAGATGGTGGTAACTAGAGCTGTTCCCCAAGGTACTACCTTTTGTCTTTTTGAATTTCAAGTTACAAACCTGCAGTGCCATCATGAATCCCAGCTTTTTTTTTTTTAGGTTAAAAGACATACCCTAGTGGCTGGTGGTGGTAAGAGAGAAAAAAAAACCTGTCCACATTCACAGAAGACCAGTTCTGTGATGTTTTACAGATGAGAAACATCAGAAAAGAAAAGAAATTATTTAGAGGCGACACCAGTTGAGGAGCAGTATGTTTAATTTATCAGCATTTCTATTCTACTGTCTATTATGCTGTATAATCTTAACTTCTAAAACATTTATTGTTTCTTTCTCTTTCGCTTGAAAACGCGTCCCTGTTTTTAGAGTTGTGCCTTCAAGAGCACGCTGACAGATTTACTGCCATTAGCTGGGAGATACCACACATGCTTGGCACACACCTGAACTGTGAATCACAGCTGCATGCTTGAGATCAAGGCAGGAGATATCAGGTGTCTGCAAGGTGGTGAAAAATTAGGGTGTTTTTTTGCATGGCTTTTCATTTTTCTCAAGAGCTATGTGTGACACTGAATTTTTTAAGGCGTCCTAAGGGGAGCACTGCAAACTGCAGTGGATCAGGGTGAAACAGCGGCAAGATGTAATCTGAGTGTTCATTTCAAATTGCCACAAGGTCCTTATGCAATCAGGAAAATGCAGAGAGTGATACAAAAGCTGTGGGAAGTGGTTGTTTGAGTGAAACACTTGGATAGTCGACTGTAACAGATCACCTCTTCTGACAATATTGATTGAACATTTTTTATTTACAAAGGGAGTTATGGGTTTGTAGTTTACTTAACAGACTCACAGCATATTTTACATGCTTAACACAGTCTTATCTCGTACATTTTCATAAAATACAATAGTGCTTCAAAATCCCCTTGAATGGCCTTGAATACATATTGCACTACTGTCCTTCCTAGCCAAAAAAAAAAAACATACCAGTGTTGGTAATGAGTGATGTATGATCACTCTTCTCAACCATCTGGTTGGCCCAGTCCTTAAGGATGTTAATGACACCCCAAGGAAGACACATTGCACAGTCCTTCAACAACTTTAAGCATTCTTTTGCCTTAAGCACTCTTAAAATGTCTTAGGAGCTGCCATGCATTCTTTGAAATGCACTCATACTTTAATGAAGACTCATTCTTACATATGTGTGCTGCAAAGAATCAGCTAGTGTTTACACTACATGTCACGCCAAAGGGTGCCAAGGGTGAGTAGGGGCTGACGGTGGCGCTTCGTATAGTTTGAGGTTAAGCATCTCAAAAATGAGTTCCTCCACCACTGATCTGTGTCTTTTCATGACAATTAGTGCAATTAACACCAACTAAATCAAGCCTTTACTGGATTTAATTTGTCATGGGCAAGTAAAAGTAGTTAATTCACCCATACGTAGGCGTGTTTTGTGGACTGTACATTAATATATACTTTACACAGTGCTACGTTAAGTCTACTCAAAGCCAAGAATGCGCTGGTGATACTTTAAGCTGTCACAGGGGGGGCTTGTTTATGAGTATTTCAAATGTTTAGTGGAGTATGTCAACCAGTGAAGCTGCACCTTCACTCTCCACTCACTCTCGGGTGTGAAAGGACATGGGCAATGGGGGTTGGAAACTCTAGCTCATAAATCCCCACTGGAGGGGAACATTGGATGTGTGTGTGTGTGTGTGCCCGCATGTGTGTGTTATTGTATGATTGTGTGCAGATGAGTGGGCACCGAGTCAAAGGGAGGAAGAAAAGAAGACGATAAAACATAGAGAAAAGGCAAGAAGGTTAAACAAATTGAAACTCAGGATATTGAACTATTCCTCTCCATCTCACTCCATTTATGGTGATCAATGCGTTTAAAGATGGATGTTAGAGGCTGAGAGAGATATAAAAGAGAAAATAAAGAGAAGCGTTTGACTCCTGCAAAGAAACAGGTGGAATTCCTCAGATGTCTTGTGGAGAGAATCAGTTAGGCATGCAGAGACTGGTTTCTTCAGTCCTCAGGAGGCCGACCAAGCCAGCGTTTCTTTAACGCAAACTTTTAATTTGCAGTGAATACTTCTTTGACCATGTAAAAGTAGAAATTGCTGCCTAAGAAATATGCATGTGTACAAATGTGTGGTTGAAAGAAGCGTTACTTAAATCACCTTGGTTTACAATTCCATACATAAGATTCATGGCCTAAAGTCTAACCCCTGACCATAACCGGTTTAAAAAAAGATAGCGTTAAAGTCATTAAGCTAAACCTAATTCAATCAACTATATTTTTTGACAACTTAACCAAATGACTGCCCTCTAAATACAACTTCGTCTGTCTTTTTGTTTCCCAATAGGAGGAGAATGAGATCCCTGCCAGCGTGTTGGTCAAGGATTCCCTCAAGACCCCACAACCAAGCCAGTATGATGCAGAGTCCACCCGGCCTAACCCATCTGTCACAGGTTCTGTTGATGGCCTCCGTACCCACGAGGAGGGCCTGCAGACCGTTAGCCTGTCCTCAGATGAGGATGTTGAATATCCAGGACACCGCATCGATGAAGATTACCTGGATTGCGATGCCGCGATGGCCAGTTCCCGTACATTTGAGAGAAGGGCCGACAGGTTCAAGCGCTCCAGCCTGAAGAAGGTAGATAGCCTCAAAAAGGCCTTCTCGCGCCAGAGCATCGAGAAGAAGATGACCGAGGTCACCAACAAGATTGTGCCACCAGAGAAGCGTGAGAAGCTTAAGAAGAGCCTCACCCCCAACCACCCCAAGAGCCCGACCGCCAAGTCGTCCTCTTTCAAGGTGTCGCCAATGACCTTCAACGTCAAGAAGGTCAGAGACGGGGAGACCCCCACGCCAGACATGGGCTCACCTTTGGAAGCAGCCCATGTGGAGATTCCTCCTCTGGGAAGCATGGATGGGGAGATTCCTTTGGCGGAGGTGCACACCATGGAGGGTTATGTGGAGGAGATTCAGGAGATTCAGCTGAGTCCCTCCACTCCAGATAGCATGAAGGCAGAGCTGGCAGTAAATGGAAAAACACCAAGCATCGAGTGTGAGATGAATGGCGATGGTGTTGCTGGCCTCGCAGTTCCGGAGCATGACGAAGATCTTGGCGAGGACATGGAAGAGGAGGAGGAAGAAGAAGACAAACAAAAAAGCCCTGTTGAGATAGCTGCCGATGTCCAGATTGCTGGAGCAACATTTTCCGTGGAGCAAGCGTCTTAATATGTTGAGATTTTGAGCATCAGTCCTGGTTTCCCTTTTTTTTTTTTTTTTCTTTTCTTCAAGTTTCAACGATTACTGAACCCCCAGCTGACACAAGTTTTGCCTTACTGTAACCAGTCCTGTGTTATTGTCATTAGCACCCCTATACACTAGAAACACACTCTGGACTTCCTGACCCTGGACCTTTCCTACAACCACTGCCTTTAATTATCACCAGCACAGTCCTTGACAAACCTTGACATGGTCTGCATTAGCGACTACACCCGACAGTGCACCTCACTAAACGTTCAGAACAAAGCATCCAGTGCGAGTGCTTTGTGAATTGTGTAGTTAAGTGGTCCAAGGAGGACAACATTGCAGCAATACGCCATAACTTATTCTCGTCAACCGGTGCCCACCACTTCAATAGGTGCACATCTCCAGGGCGCTGGACCAACTATCTCCCTCCTGCTGTGTTTATCTGCCTCTGGCCCTCTCTTTCTCACTGACAAATAGCCTCTTTTGTTCTTTGTATAAAAAAAAAAGAAGAAAAAAAAGTAAATCTTTGGCAATGGTGGTACTGCCCACAGCCTGTTGAGGCAGCGTGTTGCCAGGTTGTGCAAGAGTTGGAATGGGGAATTTCTGCATTTTCAGTGAAAAGGCCCTGGGGTGTTTTTTTTTTTTTAGTAGTGGACTAGAGGTTGTTTACTGAGATCTTAGGGCCTGCCCTGCAGAAGCCCTGATCTTAACTAGCAGGTGACTTCAGTAGTCTGAGTGGCTCTATCTTGCCTCCTGTCCTTCGCTCCCAGGTGGGAAATTACGCGTTAGTCCCACAGTGAGATTCGTCTTTCACCTTTCATTGATACATGCAACAATAAATGAGCTGCATCCTATAAAATATACGATCGCCATTTGACCTCAAGCAACTAGCAACCAACATTTGCATCATGGAAAAATAAAGTGGAATAGAGAGGATTTGAACTAGTCAGAACTGTCTTGAAAATCACACCTATTTGAGAAAAAATGTTTAAAAATATTAGGTTACATTATGTTTAGTCACACGGATGCCAATGAAGGACATCACTGCAGGATAGAAGCGACTCTGGATGTAGACAACAATATGTTAGTGACGCAAAGGACCGTGCAGGTTTTAATAGTGAGACACTAAATGTCACTTTTGCAGCTCGTATTCTCCTTTTTGCAGGGCTGCTTTCTATGTTTATGTACAGAAATTGTTGCCTTTTTCTATGTGAGGCACACTACTCGCTAGGTATTTACAGGTTAAACACCATAAATCAGTACAGTACCTTTTTGCCTGCCTTGAGTGTGTGTTCTTATACAGTAAATGTTGTATCTGTGAATTATTTTTTTTTGCTTTACTATATGATTCTCGGGTCTTTATAAGTCGTATTCTTTCAGGCGTCCATAACTTACACGGTGAAGTGTTTACTCAGTTTCATGTTTAAGACACTATCTTTAAAAAAACAAATTGCCAGGGCACCATTACTAAAGCCTCTCTGTTTTATTGCATACACAAACATACTCCTACGGTGCCTTTACCTTGTGCGAGCTGGTGTGAGTAATTGCACTCCTACAGCGATGGATTCCTATGTTTTTGTAGATAAGAGTGAAGGTAAAACATGCCTGAAATTTTTTTTTGCTTTTCTGAGGAAGCCCTTGCAGCTATGACTTTCCCAAGCATAGTGAAGGTTTTTACACCAACTACATAAAAAAAAAAAAAAGTTTAAAGGACGTGCAAATACATCGGTCACAATCAACTTTATGTTTGAAAGTCATGTCTTGAAAGTCGCTATAAAGTGACCTTCCTCTTGTTGCTCACTGTCAGAGCGTTACCAGCCTCAGCTACAGGCTGTCTTGCGCTGTGACTTCCTAAAAATAATGTAGCGAAGTGATACCAGGTGCCAAGGATCCAGATACTAGAGAGGTCAATGAAGTGGATAAAGGCAGAAGGCAGCATTCCTAGCTTTGACGGATGACTCCTGCTAAGCCCATTTTTCATGCTCTTGGCCTCCTTGTTGAGACAGTGCAAAGGGAGGAAGACGCTCTGTGGAGCCACAGGTGTTCTGCCCCCGTAGAAGCTCCTGGGCATGGGCTGGAAGTGGAGGGAGGACAAGGGTGTTGGAGGGGAAGGACTTTGGTTGTTGGAAAAGAGGATGAGGTTGGTTTAGGCATATGTGCGTCTTAGCAGAAAGGTGTTTAAACTGTGAGAGTTTGCAACGCATTAGCTAAAATAATGGGAACTAAAATATGTTTTGTGGATGTAAGCCCGTAGCTTGCACTGCAGGTTTGGGAAACCTTTTTTTTTTCAGTGTGACAATACTCCACATCCTTTAAACTGCTTCTGAAAAATGAGAACAGATAGACAATAGATTCTTAAGTTGGTTTTATTGTGAAAATATGGTGCCCAAAATACTTTATATTTAAACTATGCAAGAAAATTCACTTGTCTACTTAAACTTTAGAGTACAAAAGTTACCCTAAGTGTAAGAAATAACACATTTATATAGCGACTTACTGCTAATTACAACTAAGTGTGTCTGATTGACATGAATGCTGAGAGAATGAATAGCCAATCACATATGTATTGATCTGAACCTACTACATCTCTGCCTTATAGTACATTTAGGGAGGAAAAAAAGTATGTTTTTGTGTAAGAATATAGATTATAATTATATTTTTAAAAATGTATTTTATTTGTGTAAAATCAATGGGAGTAATTAACACAGGAAAGGAAAAAACAATTTAACATACAAATATATGAGTAGGAGTGAAATAATAGGAAAATGGCTGAAACAAAATTGATTTTATTCTTGCTGTTTTACGCTCTTGAGAAATGTAAAAGAAATAAATAATGGTTTATTATTTTTTATTATCCGTCAGGAAACAGGTGTGCTCCGCTCAGCTCTGTCATTGAGAATCTACTCTGCAGCTCTCTTATATATAATGGCATTATTAAGTCAAAAAGAATTTTAATACATAGTTTTTTATCATTCAGTTTAGAAGTCAAAGTGAAGGATTTTCACCTTTATCTTTCACTCAAGTCCAAACCGGACAAATACAGAAGCTGGCAAACACAAGAGAAACGCAGCGCATGTTTTGTCCCTGTCCTTGTCAAAGTGCCTTATATGTTACAGAAAATAAACAGCCAACTTTCTCAGTGGGATCTGTAAGAAGATAAATATATAATTAGACATATATGCATTTAAATTACTTGTAAACTGTGTTTAATAAATGTGCTTTATCATTTTGTGGATTTTTTTCTTTTTAATTCTTCTTCTTCTTCTTGTGTATATCACCCAAGTTAAAACAGATCGAACGCTAGGCTCGTGTTTTTTTTTTTCTGCTTATCCATGCAAATGTCTTACTTGGTGATATTCTGTCTCCTCGTGTTATAAAAAATAAATATATACACGTGAATTTGTGCAAAAGTCTGCTTTTCTTTTGATTCACACAGTTAGTTTGGGTCGTTTGTGAGGACCGTGTTTGCTAGAAAGTTCCAACATTCTTTAAGCAATATCAGGAAGTGATACTGTACTAATGTTTTAGCCTGTTCGTTTAGTCCACCGGTTAAGCCAAAGAAGTTTCCCTCGCAGCAGAAGATTCCCTGCCATCAGAGTGTTTCAATGTGCAGGCATTTCTTTTCAAACTTTAGTACTGTATACATCAATAAAGCTTTTTTTTTTAACACTGAGATGTTGTTTTTGGGCTTTATTTGCAGCTCTCATGGCAACAGGTGATGATGTCAAAGTTACATAAATTACAGTCGTTCACGGTCTGTGCGTAATTCATGTTGTGACCTACAGACTCCAGGAAAACATGTAGTTAAACTTGCTGCAGCTTAACCCGCTGCCGGTTTGGAAATTACCGTAGGTCTGGGTGCTGTACTCTAGTGAACCAAAGAGCAGGTAATGGGGCAGTGGAGTCAAGAGAAAGGAGCGGTTCAGCGGCACAACCCTTATTTACTTTACATGGATTCAGAGTGCTCTATAAGAAATTAAGATTAGATATAGGTGATGGGACCTGAGCCAGGGTGGAGATTTGCTTCACAGAATATCATTTTTATTACTTAACCACAGCACTATCGAATCATAAAAATAGCTGAGGTGTTATTTGCTGACACGTTGACATCTGTTTCCGAAATTTCTGCTTCTGTGCCATTGCAAAGTAAATAGAATTTAATTTGCTCTATACTCTCAGAAGTGTTGCAGCAACCTGTCTTTGCATAATAAAGCAAAGAAGCACACTAAACTACTTCATACTTAAAAAGCCCACATGCAAGTCTGGTCCTCTGGGTTTGGTGGCCCCAAAACACTCCCAATGCATCACCAGCTCATTCACCGTGCTCATAACTGAATGAACCAACACACCCTAAACCAGGGGTCTCGAACTCCGGTCCTCGAGGGCCGCAATCCTGCAAGTTTTAGATGTTTCCTTCTTCCAACACACCTGATTCAAATGATCAGCTAATCATCAAGCTCTGCAGAAGCCGGAAAACGATCCTGATCATTTGAATCAGGTGTGTTGGAAGAAGGAAACATCTGAAACTTGCAGGATTGTGGCCCTCGAGGACCAGAGTTCAAGACCCCTGCCCTAAACAAAGATGGCCGAATCAGCAACAAATCTCTTCCTCTATGTAAAAACTATGTATGTTAGGAATATAAACATTTTGAAACGTGAAGCAATTAACTATTGCATTGTATTTGAAATAATACATAATAAAGTCAACATGTTTAAACTATAAAAGCAAAAAACCTGCAAATAACAATTAAGATAAGTAATGGCAATGTGGATGCAGTGGTTGATGTAGAGGGCTCTGGTCATTTTCTCTGCTTCCAGGCCCTAATTTTATTTTCAGAGCCATTTGCATGAAGTTACTTGGTTCATCCGGATAAGCTGCACATTAAGATTTATTGCCATATTAACCAGCAGACTCAAGAAGTCCAGATTGCGCTGCGACATGGTAATGAAACATTATGCTAGGAGTGAGCAAACACAAAATTTTGCACTGATTTGGAGTCCCCCTCCATAGTGATTGTGGCCCTAAACAATTATTTGTGTTTATGCCAGTGGTTGGCTCTGTCCAAATGAAATCTATTGACAGCAGGGTCTGGGGATTACTTAGAGGATTGAGGTGCTTTCTGGGATATAAATTGCTGCTGAATTATTAAAATGTTTTTTTTTTTCTTTCAGTACAATATAAACGAAATCCCATTAACCCCTAACGGTGTGGGGCGGCAGCAGAAAACTTCAGCTTTTTACATTATGAGCAGAGCTAGTGAGACAATATTTAGTTAGAATTTGGATGGTCCTGTAATATAGAAAACGTTTGCAAATGTGGTTTGCTGCAAAACTACACTTTAAAAATGCTATTTGACTGTTTCACTGTGTGCGGATGGCAATTTAACATGTTCATTTTGTTTGCTTCTTACAAACAGCAATACTGGGAGGATGAATTTTCTCAATTGTGCAACTTTTGACTACACTCAAAATGAACTACAATTGCTTTTGATTCTTTCTAATTCAATTACTATGTGTTCTCCAAAGAAAGTTATCTCAGGTTTCTCTTGATTGACAATGACAGCATCACTAAACTCCCAGAATACGGTGCTTCATTTACAAACACAGTTATTCTCCTCATTTGTGGTTCATTTAAAGTATTAGGGGCCTTTTTGTACCAAAAGAAGAGGCTGGTCTTGGGCAGCTGGTTTAAAAATATATGCTTTACTGGTCACCCAATTTCTGTTATCATACAGACAATAAAATCCAAAATAAGAGCTTTATATTAGAGACACACCTTCACTGTGTGTAGGGAATAAATATGTATTGATGCAAGTGTGAATTTAACAAGAAATCTGTCATTAAAAAATATGCATCCAATTATAAGCATGCATTGGATTTAAATCTTGAATTTAACATATTTCCATTTGAGATTTTTATTTAATTTTTTTCATCTTCACTGTCGAGGTGTTAAGATGGTGTTTGTCTCCCTCCTATGTCCAAATTGACGCTAACACCCTGTTCTTCTTCTACTACATTGCACATCGTCATTGTCAGATTCACAGTTTTATCCATCCAGGTTACAAATACAAACCTTTGTCGGTGATATTTTCCCTTAAATATAATCTGCAGAAACAGTAATTATCAGTCAGCCTTGTCTGCCTTTAAAATCACTGCTGGTCGCCATATTAGTTTGTATAGTCACGGTGGCCGAGAGGTTAAGGCGTTGGACTCGAAATCCAATGGGGTTTCCCCGCACAGGTTCGAATCCTGTTCGTGACGATGCTCCTTTTGCTTGACGGACACACATCACGAAGCCAATGCCACATGTACCAAACTCAGTATTGTTGTACAAAAAAAAAAAAAAAGTAACGTAGTGAGGTGTATTATACAAGCACACAGCTGCTGCAGATCTACTATTTTATCGTATTTTGCACTCCAGCCTCTCTGTGCTCAAACAGGCATACATTTGACAATAACGGCCACCGTTCGTCCAGATGACCAAAACTAATTAAAACCTTCATAGATTTACGCCGTTACTTTTATCGTTAAAGCGGAACTGTCACGTTTGCTCTCATCTCGCGTTGTTTGTGAGTGGAATCCAGTTGGTACGAACCAACTACTTTCTGACCTAACTTTAAACAGCTGGACATGTTGTCTGCCTACGTTTGTGACTGCAGTGTATTTACAACAATAGACGCTTTGTTAGCCGTGTCTCTCTCCTTGGACTTGTCTGTACAAGAGCACACCAGAAGAAATGTCCACCGGGATACCCCTTCTCCAAGCGCAATCATGGAACCGGCCGAGTTGAATAAAGTCGACCGGTTGTCGACGCTGACGTAGTTTTTGGGGCATTGTTAAAGTAGGCTGAACCCGTGTAGTGAACAGCTAGTACTGACTTTTAAATAGCATTTTGGAGCTTTAGTATTGCCTAGGTATAAAATAACCAGGACATTTAATATATAGCTTTCGAATAACTGCAACGTTGTAGGGGGACACAGGTAGACACACTGGTCGAGTAACAAAGCATTTGGCCAGACTGCGCGCTAACAACGCTAACAGTTCCTATACTTACAAGAGCCACACAAAGGAAAAGCGGTGGATTGGTTTGAAAGCATTAACGCCAAATTGACTTGCCGAAGAATACTGTTATCTCCAAATAGTTGGCAGCACAGACAATCTATCAAGCTGTAGTGATACTTGGGAGTCAGAGGAGTGGTATTTGTTAAAGAAACACTTCAGATCTGACAGCGAGTCTGGATTTGTCAGCCTGGATTGGCACAGTTTCATCTGATTTAGGTATTTTGCCCAAACGCATTGTTAAATCGTTACCAGCTACATTAGTGCGGCTTTCACGTTAACTCCTGCTATGTGAAGAATGAAGCTGCCATTATGGCGATAATCGTGACAAGCGACATGTCCAGAGACTCGTATCTTGAAATTAGAAGAAGGTAGCTAACTACGACCTAGCAAATATTTAGCGAAGTGTTCCTTAGCAAAGCTAGCTAGCTAGCAAATTTAGTCGCCCTGCTAGTGTTGGTTAGCAGTGAGGAGGGCAGTTATCTTTTAGCTCTTACGCCCACTGTCACTGGCGTTTTTAGTATTAACTCGAATGTAGTCGATGTCCGAAGAAGCTGACCGTTGTTTGTAACGTTATAAACAGTTAGAGAAAGTTGCAGTGAGTGAAGCGGGGTTTAGGTAACGTTCGGCTAGCAGGCTAATCGCTTAGCCGAGCTAAAGCTAACGCTATAGCAGCCCATTACAAAGTAACGACAGCCAGCACTCATAGCTGCTGAGTTTAAGTAACAGGAAGGGAACCGATAGCTTTTTTTTCTCTCGACAATAACAATGGCAGCCCCAACAACCGAGGCCTTGTTTTTGATAAAGGATGTGAAGCCTGGGTCAAAAAATTTAAATATTGTTTTCATCGTTTTGGAAATAGGTAAGTAGATGCTCTGGGAGACTAAAGCGGTCTCTCCCCAGTCAACTCGTGTTCTCTTTCTTAAAGCGACCGCTTCATATTACTTCACCAAAATCACAGTCAAATACCGTCAACAGGACTTTGCTTTTTAAATGACTTCATAACGTTTCCATCTAGAAGTTGGTAGTTTACCCCTGATCAGAGGTGTTCTAAGTACGTTTGCTCTCTTGCCTGACTTGTCCTTGTTTTGTTATGTTTTATCAGGAAGAGTGACCAAAACGAAGGATGGCCATGAGGTGCGCTCATGCAAGGTGGCAGACAAAAGCGGGAGCATAGCAATCTCTGTTTGGGATGAACTGGGCAGCCTTATTCAGCCAGGAGACATCATCAAGCTAACCAGAGGGTAGGGTTGTTCCTGTGCTTGGGTACTGAGTACATAAACACTACTTGCTCTGTTTAAGTTGTTAGTGTTCATAAAAAGATCGTGCGCGCGCATATATGTGCACACTTAGTTTAACGTGTGATTTCTGTGGCAGCTATGCATCCATATGGAAAGGCTGCCTGACCCTGTACACTGGAAGAGGAGGAGACCTCCAGAAGATTGGAGAGTGAGTAGCTGGCCATATATCTATTTATACTTAAGTAAAGTACTTGTCCCTCTTGGAATCCTGGTTGGCATATCTCCCCTGCACAGCCATTATAAAAGGCCTGAGCATTCTGTAAAGTGACACCAACATATTGGTTTGAAAACACACTTTAAGAACACCAATACACAACTTTGGTTTCATTTTTGAGTTATTAAAACGTTTAGACAGCTTAACGTAAATGATGTTGACACTTGATTCACTGTGGCTTTTAGTTCGTGAGCAGCCTGCTGCACAAAATCAAGTTTTAACATTTTCTTTTTTTGTAAAAGAGTAAAATTGTCTTTGGGTCAACTAATGACTGAAATGTCAACTCCTACCAAACACATCCTACCAGATCTTTAAATATTATGTTCAAATTATTTCCTAGGTTCTGCATGGTGTATTCAGAAGTGCCCAACTTCAGTGAACCAAACCCAGAGCTGCTAGCCCAAGCGAACCAGCAAAACAAGTCTGTGAGTAGCCATTCAAAACTCGACATCTAATGTCATCTCCTCCGTAGTGGGTGGGGATCAATCATAACAGTGCAGCTATGTTGAAAGTGACATTCTCTTCTGCTAACAGGGTAAGCCTGACCAGAACCAGAGAGGAAACTCTCCACCCAATCAGAATTCAGGTACACCTGCCCCACCAGGTGAGTATATTCTTCAGTATGCAAATAATGGCTACACTACTAGCAGCAGCATGTTCTGTGCAATAATGCTTTTCAATGGTGTTACGTGTTGCTGTAGTATTATATGAAGGAACTTGAGAAGCTAACTGTGTTTGTATCGATAAAACACTGACTCAACAAATCAAACCAAATGAAATAAAAATGTGACAAATACAGCTTAGTGCTGAGTTTAAAAAAAAAATGTAAATATATGAACACTGAGAGTCTTTAATGTGAATAGTAAGCAAAGTAGGGTTTTTACAGAAGACAGTTTGACTTGTCAAAGGAGATAAAGCTTTTGTGGGTTACGAATGTCATTATCAGTGTTGCTTCAAAAGACGTATCTCAGTCAGCCTTGGCAGCGTCATTGAGTCAGCGTGCACAATACTAAAGACCCTGAATCCAAGGCAGTTAAATAGACCTTAGCAATCATTATTATTTACATCTTTACTTCACACACTTCTGGTTCAAAAAAGAAAATTTCATGAAGGTGTAAATGTCTTAGGTTGCACTTTTTCTACGAGCACTGACTTGTACCTCTCCTCCCAAAGGTAACGGTGCCATGCCGCCATTTGCCAACAACAACCCACCATCTGGTGCGCCTCGTGACCCTGCGTTTGGGAACATTGGGCGGCCCAATGGCCGGTCACCTGGCAATGGAGCACCTCCAGTTACTGCTGCTGGACCCCCAGCAACCACAAAGTCCTCAGTTACCATTAGCAACGGCAGGGATCCACGACGTGCCAAAAGATGAAATTGGGTTTGGGGGGGATCATGTGAGAAAACTATGGACATCCCCGTTTTCCCCTGCCCTTTTTAACCCGTTTTTCCACTCCTTCTCCACCGCAGCCTGTGTCGGCTTTCAAAATACATAAAGTTGGGGACTATTTGCATAATTTTTATACAGGCTAACATAGTCAAATGTTGTTTGTCATGCATAGTGCGAGTAGTAGTGCTCTCAGTAAGCAGCACAGTGTGACTATGATCTACCACTTGATGCACTATCAGCATTCTTCTATAGATGAGACCTGGTGGTTATGTTAAGGTCAGCTTCTCAGTCTAAACCCTTGTCGTGTAAATCTCATTGCAATTTGCCACTTCTGTGCCAGTGTTACCTCTCGCCACACCTACCGAACCCCTACCCCTCTTGTTTTCTTTCAGACTATACACCCTACTTGAACACTTGATGCACTTTCTTCTCTTAATTTATGTTGAGGCTTGGCTGTCATTTGAATCAGGAAATCAATTTCTGCTTTTTTTTTTTTTTTTTCCAATCATAGAAAAGGCCTTATGTTGGTGAAAATGAGTTTTTGGACTGAATGGCCGAGTGAAATTCTTCAAAGGGTCTTCCCTCTTTTAACCAAACTGTATCCGAAGTGACTCTGTGAAAGGAAAGGTGTTAGTTTTGAATTTTTAATGATAGGTAGGTAGATTGATATGAAACTGTTTTTTTTCATAAGACTTGTTTTTCTTGTTTGCCATCAACTGTACCTTAATGAAGGTGGGACCACTTAAATACTGGCAAAAACGGTTCACCAAATAAATTTTAGAGTACTTTTGCTGCCACGTTGGATTTTCTGTAGTCTGTTTGAGAGCTTAAGTTACTATTAATGTCAATAAAGTGTATGTCATGTTGCTGATCCTGCACTTAAGCTGCCTTGTATATGGCAAAAAAACAATTCTTACATTCAAGGATGTTAGTTGAAATCCGTTTTCCCTCAGATGCGCACAGTTTCACCAGTCAAACCCTGACATGAGAACAGCGCAGGGAGGGTTTGAATACAAATCACCCCTAAAGCCCCACCATGCTGTGAACTGCCACATTCAGAGCTTCATACTGTTACTATCCTCTCATGATGATTTCATTGTACAGCACCATCTAGTGCCTAGAAAAATAAACTACCATTTGTTATTTTGAGAGGAGCTCCATGATAAGTGCTGTATCCGAGCTGTGGGTTGTGTACTGTTTGTCTGTGCTTTTTTTTTTAAAGCAGGTTGTGGTAAAATCCCACACTTATGCAGAAGTAGAAGGGCATATTTGAGCTTTTGTTTGTCACAGTGGAGTGAAGTCAATCGTGCTCTCAAGCAGTGGAAGCATTAGCATTAAGTATTTCCATTTTGAAGCAATACATTGCGTACAACAGAACCCCTTGTTTCCTCATATCCGTTGTTGCACCAAGCACCTAAACATGACGGCCTCTAGATGTTGAAGTTGATCCATTTTTTTTTACTTCTGACGCACTTTTTCTTCCTGTTGAGTCCGTCGAAAGGGTAAAGATGCTCCTCATATTTGATGAATGTACGCGTGACCTACATTTCAAGTCGCACAAAGGCGTCTTGTTTGTATGAAGCCGTGTTCCTGTTGTGCGGGCATAAATGGAACAACATTCTGAAGTGGATAGAAAGTGGCCAAGTAGGGCTCATGTGAAATGAAACCATCTGTCGTACTGATTCATCCGTGTGCCACTTCAGCGACATGACGAGACAGAAATAGGGCTTTATATGGGAGCAATTTTGTCTAAAGCTTTTGAGAAGACAGTCGTAATGTGACATCTAACGGGGTGATAAAACTGTCCACGGATCTTTTAAGGATGTGGGTTTAACAGAACCATGACTACATGCCTTTTTTTTTTGGCACCTTAAACTACTTCTTGAGCTTTAAGATGATAAATGTGGCAAATTCTTATATATTTCTTGAACAAGGCTCAGGCTGGTAGAACAGCAGTTACCCTCCCAGAGTCTCCCTGATGTTACAACACACCCTGCACCTTGGTAGCATTTACATCTGTAATTACCGCACGTCTTAATATTACTACAAAAAAGGAATTCATCCTCTTGTTCAACAGTCATTCTTCCAACCCTCCCTCTTTAAAGGAGTCCTCGCTGTCATCTGGTTAAGTGCCTGAATATTTAAAATCAGCTGTAGTACAACCGTTTTTTAAAAAGCCAACCCCTTGACCCATCCATTTACAATAACCTCCACTCAAGAGTCTAAACTTCCCTTTTAAGGAACAAAATAGGTAGCGAGCAGATCATTGATTATACAAATGGCAACAGGCTCTTTAAATAATTTCAGTCGGGTTTTAAGGTGAGCCACAGCGCCGAGATAACGCTTTTTTAAATCTTTAATGATGTTCTTTTCGCTGCCAGCCAGGTCAAACATCTGTTACATTGCTATAGATCTTACTGCGGCTTTCCGTACAGTTGACGCTGCAGTTTTAAATGAATGTCTTTAACATCTAGTAGGCACATCAGGTACAGTTTGAGTTTGGTTTTATCTGTCTATGGTAAATTTGCCATGGCTAGTTGTAATTCCTTCCCTCTTCCAGATCTATTTCTAATTTAAATCCACCAACAAGATAAAACAAGACAAAACACAACCCCACCTTTAATCCTTCTATAACCTGTATGTGCCCAATCCTGGTCCTCGAGTGCCCCTATCCAGCATGTTTTAGATGTTTCCCTCTTCCAACACACCTGATTCACATGATCAGCTCATCATCAAGCTCTGCAGAAGCCTGAAAACGATCCCGATCATTTGAATCAGGTGTGTTGGAAGAGGGAAACATCTAAAACATGCTGGATAGGGGCTCTCGAGGACCAGGATTGGATACCCTTTGCTGTAGAGGATCACAGGGCCTGACATTTGAGGAGATGCAGGGTACATTCTGTACACATCGCCAGCCAGTGGCAGAGCTAACACAAAGAGACAAACCATGCACACTAACGTTCACACATAGAGCCAAGTTAGAAACCACTAATTAACCTACTAAGCATGTCTTTGCAGGGAGAGCACACAAACAGAAAGGCCCCAGCTGACCAGCATGTTTGAAGCCAGGACCTTCTTGAGGTGAGTGCCAACCACTGCATCCACTCTTAATTCAATTCAAGTTGTTTTTTTGTTTTATATATATAGCACAAATTCGCAAGATATGTCATCTCACAACGCTTAGCATAGTGAGGTAGAGACCTTACAGATTTGGAACAGAGAACCCAACAATCCAAAGTTGCCTTTGGATTCAACATGAGCAAGCAGTCGGCAATGGTGGAAAGGAACCAAAAAACAACAACAACCCCCTAATAGGGAGGGTGGGGGAAAAAAAAGAGCCAGGCTCAGAGAAGGCGGCCATCTGCCTCGACCGTATGTAGGGAGAGTGGGGATGGGGGAGTGGGAGATAGCAACTTACACTCTTACATCTTACGGTGAAAGCTGGTTTTCTCACAACCTTCTTCAAGCAAAGACACATTAATCAGAAGCTGTGAGGCCCAGAATCTTTCAATCCAGGTGTTACCGTTGATTAAAAGGTTAATTTTGGGGGCAGATCTGTTGCTTATTCCTGCTTCTTCTTGTATCTTCAACTGGTCCAATGAAAGGATGCACACAGCAGCAATGTTAGTGTCCCTCCACTGGTTACCTGTAGGCTTTAGGAGTTAAAAACAATGATTGCTTTTAAGAGGGTTGGCCTCAGATTATACCTCCAGTACTTTCTTTTGAATGACATCCTCTAGCAGAGGCGAACATAAGGTCAGACAGCACTTTCCAATTGCATTCTTTTTTTTGTCTTGTGTTTGTTTTATGTCTTTACTTTTTTTTTTGTTTTTCAAAATGACACGTGGCTTCAAATCATATGTTCAAAACATGTTTATGTACTTCCACAAACGCTTAGCCGAAAAGCACCGCACTTGTGACACTGGAAGTTGAAACACATGAGAAGTGTGGCAGGAAATGTGATGCTAGACACTCATGTGTCAACAAAGATGCATGTCATGAGCTGGGAACTTCCTCTCAGCGGCAGCGGTCAATCAGAAGTGTCGCTCCATCATGTGCTTTGTGATATGCAGAATTTTACTGAGCTGACAGAGGTCCACGTAGAGGCTGACCAAATAAGCTTTAATCAACTAAATGGATATTTCCCAAAATGCATGTAGTAATTATGCATGCTATATATTTTTCTTTTATTTATTCTCCATAGAAACAATAAACAATTTAGCTTTTCCAACTGTTTTTTTCTGTTTTCTTTAGTTTGGTTATTCTGTATACTTGTATTTGCTTTTTTTCTATTTGTTTTGTTTTTATTTTTAACATGTAAAGCGTCTTTGAGTTTGTGAAAAGCGCTCTATAAATAAAATGTATTATTATTAAAGAGCATCAAATAAAAAAGACACATGTTGGATAACGTAGACAACAGGCCAACCTGTAATACCAACAGCACTAATAACATCTGACATACAGCATTACTTAAATATCTTCTTCAACATCACTGTGTTTATTTTGAATTTATAGACCTCATGACCTAATACTTTCTGTTTCAGTTTTGCGTATAATGTGATAGCTCATCTCATGACACCAATGACTCACAGAATGGACTGGGTTTGTTTTGGGGGAAGTTCTGTGGTTTAGGAACGACCAAACAATGACTAGTAAACATGATCAGCAATGATGTATAAACAAGAAATAAAACAGAATTGATCATTAAAAATCATTAAATATGAATAGATATAAGGATACAAAAATAAATCACGTCATCGTCTACATAAATCAAATGGGACAGGAAACATCTTCCTCCTTGACGTCTTGAGAAAATCCTAATCTGCATGCGTGAAGCAAACAGGAAAACAAGCCATGTGGGAGGGGTGTAGAGAAATACAGGTTGCTCTTGTCTCCTTGTGACAAACTCAGTGCCTCCTTCAGAGAAGACACCACAATGACTGGTGAGTTCTTTCATCCTTACAATAATAACTTACATAATAACTCACATTTTTGGATTATTTTGATGAACATATCCATAGCAAACAGCCACTTTGTAGCCCATAATACCTCACTCAGTTATGCACTATGAAATGAATCTGATATTTAATCTTGATTTTTGTCCTCAGATCCAAACATATCTGCCTTTGTCATCGACTTTGGCTCCATCTATGAAGAACTCAACTTCACCTACAATTACACAGAGTTTGACATAGACCCTGCCACACAGCCCTGCACCTTCGACTTCCCAGATGCTGTGATGACTTTTGTCAGTCTATTTTACATCCTCATCTTTCTGTTGGCAATTCCTGGAAATCTGGTCGTGGTGCTGGTGATTTGTCTCAGTAAGCAGGCCCTGACTCCGTCTGACCTCTACCTTCTCCACCTGGCAATTGCAGACATCCTCCTGGCCGTTACCCTCCCTTTCTGGGCCACCGCTGTCACGCGGGGCTGGGTGTTTGGAGACGGCATGTGCAAGATTGTTACTGTCCTCCAAGAGCTGAGCTTCTACTCCAGCATTCTCTTCCTCACGTGCATCAGCATGGACCGCTACATGGTGATCGTACGAGCTATGGAGGCCCGCAAGGCCAACCGACAGATGATCAGCTGGGGAGTTTGTGTTGCTGTCTGGGTTGTTGGAGCGTTTCTGTCCCTGCCGGGGCTCTTCAGTTCTTCTTCCTTGTCTCCAAACAGCAGTCGCACAGTGTGTGCTGAACAATATGATCCCAGCAATGCTGACGAGTGGAGGCTTGTCACCAGAATATTTCGCCACGCTTTGGGTTTTGTTATCCCCTTGGCCATCATGCTCCCCTGTTATGGAGTAACCATCAAGCGCCTCTTTCACATCCGTGGGGGATTTCAGCGGCAACGAGCCATGAAAGTGATCGTGTTCGTGGTCGTGGCCTTCCTGCTTTGTTGGACTCCGTACCACATTGCTGTGATGACGGACACTTTTTTCAGGACAAAGATAGTGCCCTACCAGTGTCCCGCCAGGTTGGCAGTGGATCAGGCCATGTTTGCCACCCAGAGTCTGGGCCTGCTTCACAGCTGTGTAAACCCACTGGTGTATGCTTTCGTAGGCGAGAAATTCAGAAGGAGGCTGTTGCAGATTATGACGAAGATGGGCCTCGTGGAGAGAGCATCAGTGTCGAGAAGCAGCAGGTCTTCGCTGTCATCAGAAGTCACATCTACATTCATGTGAGAAAGCCAAAGGGACACAATATCAAAACGTATTGTACATATTTTTTTTTGTCTTGGGTTGCCTCAAACACAACAAAGAGTTTTTTGATGCTTTGTTCTTCTTTATAATCTTATTTAACTTGGCATTCCAGTTCATACCAGAAAAGAGTTACGCTTTAACTCTTTGTTGATAGCTATTTAAATCCCTTCTCTTTATGCAGTCATGTCTAGTTTTAAGGAAACTGTGAAAAACCTGTCTGTCAAAATAGAATTTCAAATGTCAAAATATTTCAACACGATGATATTTGGTCACATCTGCTGATGAACACTTTGACATGCAGGTGAAAGCTGTGGGAAATGCTTCAGACTTTACATTTCAAAAATTCAGTGTTAGGTGGTGAAATGTTTGGCCTCTGTGCAATCTGTCAGACTGTGTATGATTCAAATTCCTTTACTTACTCTCCTTTTTTTGTACTTCCAGCTCAAGATGTATAAATTGTAGTATAACATTTAAAATGTCATGTACCATGTTAAGCTCTATGTAATTTTTCATACTAAGGATGTATTACAGTCATTTTTGAAGACAGCTGGCTGTCATTCACAGGCCAAACAATTGAAGTGTCTGTACAGTTGAAATCGTTGAAATTTAATTAAAAAACAACAACAACAAAAAAACGCCCATTCTGCCTTTTTGTTTGTGATTGATAAAACATCATGGAGTCGCTTCATATTTGTCTTTTGCAGTTCACGTGGACAGTTTCTCAGGAAGTTTATCTTTCAGGTTGCAACCTTACAGCTTGATGAGGGAAAAAAACAGAAGTTCTTGTGGCAGCAAAGCCACAGTAATTAGCAGAAAGAAGGTCAGAGAGGAAACATTTTCCCCCCTCTTGATTACAAAATGATCACTGAGAAGCGCAACTGACGAACACTGCAACTTATGAAAAAGAAGAAGTCTTATCACCATAGTTTAATATCTCCCACAAAATCAGAATACTCGGGTGGTTCAAGACATTTAAAGTCTTTGTTTTAGATTTCCTTTCCGGACATAATATAACAGTTGATCATGTATTTGATATTTAACAGGAAAATCCAAAAAATAAATATGTCGACCCACACAAAATGAATTCAACAGTACTGTGGATTTTGTGTTGGCGATAATGTATTGAAGTTATTGCAGTTGACTCATTTTCCAGAGGAACTTATACATTGTTTACTACCACGACTCGTTAATACAACCATCACTATAGCTACAACAGCCCCTACCACTACCAGCTGATACTGTCACTACTGCAAAAACTACCATTACTGTAATGCCGCTGTTATCAGTCATACTAATAATTAAATAATACAACTATCATTACTACTACCCCTACCCGTGCTCGCAAATACTGTCACCACAGCTACCACTACCACAGCCATTAGTAGCTAATACCACTACAACAACTACTAGCTATGACTATTGCTATAGCTGTGACTACTATTACTACAGCTGCTACTACTATCACTACCAGCACTAGAGTATACTACTTTTGCTATAGCTACTATTAGTACTACACACCCACAACTACTAGCTATTACTACTATTACTTCTACAACCACTAATACCAGTAGTAACTACTACTATTACTATTACAATTACTAGAACCACAACTTGCTAACGGTATTATTACTACAGCAACTACCACTACCAGTACTAGCTAATTCTACTACCACTACTCGCTATGAATATTACTGGCTATGAGTACTATTACTACAGCTACTACTACTATCACTACCAGTTCTAGAGTATACTAGGGGCGGCTGTGGCTCAGGTGGTAGAGCGGGTTGTCCACTGATGGCAAGGTTGGCGGTTCGATCCCCGGTTCCCCCCACATGCCGAAGTGTCCTTGGGCAAGACACTGAACCCCAAATGGCTCCCAATGGCAGATTAGCGCCTTGCATGGCAGCTCTGTCGCCATTGGTGTATGAATGTGTGCGTGAATGGGTGAATGAGAGACATTGTAAAGTGCTTTGAGTGCCGCAAAGGTAGAAAAGCGCTATATAAGTGCAGACCATTTACCATTTACCATTTACTACTTTTGTATAGCTACTATTAGTACTACACACCCACAACTACTAGCTATTACTATTATTACTTCTACAACTACTATCAGTAATAACTACTACTATTACTATTACCATTACTAGAACCACTGCTTGCTAACGGTATTATTACTACAGCAACTACCACTACCAGTACTAGCTAATTCTACAACCACTACCACAACTACTAGCTATGAGTATTACTAGCTATAAGTACTATTACTACAGCTGCTACGACTATCACTACAAGTACTAGATTGTACTACTTTTGCTATAGCTATTATTAGTACTACACAACCATAACTACTCACTATTACTATTGTTACTTTTACTACTACTAACTCCAGTAATAACTACTAATATAACTTTTACCATTACTAGAACCACGACTACACTACAGCGACGACCACCACCAGTACTAACTAATACTACTATCACTGTGGCATCTATGGCTACTTCCACTACCACATCTACTAGCTAATATTACTATTACTACATCTACTACTACTGTCAGTACTAGCTAATGTTATCCATAGCTACTCTACGAACACATCTGCTGCTAGCTATTACTATCATTGCTACAGCTACTGAATTCCACCTTAAGTACGTTTATCTTGTCCCTTTCTTTGAACTTTAACAGTTACCAGACATTAAATCTAATATTTACAGTCAGCTAAGGAGCCTTAATGGTTACCACACACTGCATGGACTACAAAAATTAGTTTTCAGTCCTACTGAACCGACATTTACAAGCTAGTTAACGTTGTCTGACGGGTTTTCTGCTTGTTGTTTGTTTGTGAATGTGCTTGTGGGGCGTGCTTTGATAGCTACAACATGAATGTAAAATTCCCTGCTTTTCTTCATGAGGTAAGTCTAACTTCACGACATTAAAATGTTTAATTCAGGTACTGTATGTTGGACTTTTTGTCTCTATTTGTATAAAGCAACTAAGACCAATATTAGGCACTTCTTGTTGGGAGTAAGGTTTGTTACAGCTAGCAAACGTGACGTAGCGTGCTAGCAGCAGAAGCTAGCAATTGGTCTGGAGTTATCAGGTTTTGTTGTTTGTGTTTCTCCTAGAAGTTTGATAAGTAAAATAATTAATACCAAATTTGTTTTTGCTTTTTGTGAGTTTTAATTTTTACTCGTTTTATGGTACAACACTGAACTGCTGGATTCAACTCTGGTCAACGAAGTATGTGTTGTACTAAGATAGCGATTTAAAAGTACATTCTAAGTTACACTAGTATGTTGAAATTGAGTTTTGAGCCATGATAGTGTTTTTCTTAATATTTTTATTAGACTTTAAATCCACATTTGTAATGTGTAGTTGTAGCAATGTTCTCGCAGTAGTTGCACTTGTTTAGCTAAATGAATGGTAACATTAGAATATATGTTGTTGTGACCAAGCTCGGAAGATTTTTTTTGGTGTGGTAAATACAGCAAATTGTGAAAACGCACTTGTTTTACGCCATCAGTGATACTTGATTAAATGTCATAAAGCTCCGGCTGCTGCTTCACACTGTTAAGGCAACGATAATATTGTCTTTCTCATGATATCTGACCACCGACACAACTGAGAGACCAACGTCAGCTCCTACATGTGACCTACAAATTAAAAATCGGCCTGTTCCGACCACCCCCCAACTCCTATGCGCCAAGTGTTGCGCCCTCTCACATGTTCTACTGACCTCAGGTTGGCTAAAAATGACAAGAGGGCGGGAGCGCAGCAGTGACTGGGCAGAAGGATCACCATGCAGCTGTCATTGTAAGGCTTGCTGTGCTGTGACTGTCATTTCCCCCGTCAGACTGACTGGCAGAGGTAGGGGGAGATCATGAGTGGGGTGGTTTAACTCAGGGGACTAGGAGTGGGGGGGAACTGCTGTGCAACTTGCTGGACAGGACTTGATGCATGCATTCAACAGAAGCCGAGGGAGAACAAATCTCAAGGCCACCAGGGGGAAAAAAAGAGGAAACTCGTCGACGACCATGCTTTGCGAAGAAGCTACACGCTCCTGGGAAAAGGTTTAAAAAAGACGGAAAAGTCAGAGAAGATCAGAAGAAGGAGGAGGGGGAGAAGCAGGGCCGTCACTTCCAAGAGACAAGTCAAGGGAGCTGTTAATGCAACATGATCCAGTGGGTCTTGCCCTAAAAATACCTCTGGGCAGAAGAGTAGCAGCTATCTCGATCTGCTTAATTACCTGGTGATCAACAATTTCTTTTTCTTCTTTGGACAACAGCTGAGGTCAGACACCAGCGATTTGCGGAGACTTAACCGTTGCAGATATGTTTCTAAAAATCCTAATTTGCTTTCACAAGTACTAGAAACTCGTAGCTAATCTGAAGTTAAAAAATGTGACAACCATGTTGACCGCAGTTTATGTGTAAGTCTTGCTCGTAGACTAATGCCCTGATTGGATTTAGATTGAAATCACTACAAGAGGGCCCAGCTGGTGTTATAGTCACCTAGCTCAGGTAGACTGTTATAGAATCTGCTGTAGGGTCTAACAAGTTGGTTGAACCATGAGAAAAGCCGAGGTGCAAATGACCCTGAAAAAGGGGGCAGACGAAGCAGGGGCCCCACCGAGTCCCATCATCCCCCCGAAACGGTCCAAAGCGAGCCCGGAGCAAGCGGTTCCAGAACCTCGAGGACCTGGTTATCCCACCCCGACGCCGCCCGTTTTCGTGCGCAAAATGAGGAACGCCGCCGTGGGGACGGGCTGCGATATCCGTCTCAAGGTGACTGTGGTCGGGGACCCCCAGCCCTCTCTGTACTGGTACCACAACGACGACCTCCTCAACATGGAGAACCAAGAGTACGGAGGGCTATGGATAAGGGATTGCAAACCCAGTGATGCTGGTCTCTATACCTGCATCGCCAACAATCACCTGGGAGAGGCTCGGAGCAGCGCTGTGCTGGCTGTCTTGGATCTGGGTGAAGGTAATATCAGCAAATACACTCACTGCACAGATTCACTTGCATTTAAGCGTAGAAAGTGTTTCTAGATTGAGTTTGTTGGACTCCGTGTGTCCATCAGCTACCAGAGGAACAAATTAGCCAGGTGTTCACAAACCTATGGGTTCATTTGAAGTATAGCATATAATTTATTAGACTATCAGCAGCATCAAAGCCAAGATGGCTGTTATCAGAGTCACCAGAAATCTATTTTATGTCATTTCTATGAAAATTACCCAGCATGCAACTCTCATCCAAAATACCCACCCCCTTGGTTACGACAGAATGTGTGCTTGTCTAGTGTCTCCTTCCTTTTTCTGCTTATAAAATACCATCTAATACTTTAAGCAAGACATGAGCTGCTATATCCGCATCATTCCTATATGATTGTCATTATATCGCCCTGTGCATTTAGATGATGGTCTAATGGTTTTGTTCAAACATGTAGGTACAAGTCATCATTGATTTTATTCAGATATTTCATTTTATTTATCAGAAAGTGGCCCAAATTAAGAAAAAATACTGGAAACACAACACTTAAAATATACAGTGTTTGCATTTAATCAGATATTCAATCATAGACTTCTACACAGTTTCCACATGCAGTCTATTTATACATGGAACTCGCTCAAGTGCC